TAAGCTACTAAGAGCTTAAGGGAGGTAGCACAAATATAGAACTAGAGTAATGATTCAAGTTAGTAGAGAGACAGTATGTTTTTCTGAACAAACTGAGTGAAATGAAAGGTACACTTTTCCTAAAACGAGGAAACCTCAACACGCCACAAAAGGGCCAATTTTGTGAAAGGCTAAATGCCACTAAATATAAATTGTAATGAATAAGTAAAAACGCCCCTATAACACCCAAGGGGTGGCATCTATGCCTTCCAAAGTTCTGTCAACTTAAATTTTAAATTTAAATTTTAAAGCACTATTATCAGAAGACAGCTATTTTCCCCCCAGTTTGAGTATATATTTGAAAAGCAAACCCTTCAAGATCTGTTCTCAACTGACACCTGCTCTTTTCGTTTCTCAGATTTCAGTTCCATGAATGGTGAAGGAAGAGGAAACCTTGTTTCTCAATGTCACCTCCACTGCCCAATGCACGGTGGTTGATATCTTCCTATTATTCTTCTCTCTGAGTACCTTGTCTTCTTTGAATCTTAATCCTAAGGGAAGGTATGATGAATCAAACCTAATGACCCTGGGTTTTCCTAGAGGAACTAGAGGAACCCTCATCATTAGTAGCAGGTCAGTGGACCACTGAAAGGAGGGTGTAAGGATGAACCTTTCCCCCTATCCCTTAACCCCAATGCCAGAAATCCTATTAATCCTCAGTTATGAGAAGAGTTGAATATCCCTCCAGTCCTCTAAGAAAGAGGGCAGGGAACAATTCCTCCCACCCAGGCCTCACTCACATCTCTACCAACCCAAGGACTTTTGTACTTAGAAAAGAAATAAGGAGCTGTTTTCGTTAGTTCATCACCTATCTCAGAACTCTCCTTCTCATCTCTTGGAGGCATTATCTCAAATGAACATTAGGGAAAGTCATACGTAAAGTGTGGCAAGAGGCAAATGTAATGATGAAATAGTTCTCTGTTATAACCAAGAACTGTCATTTGAGATCGTTAAGAAGCCAAAATTCAGCCTAAGTTTTACTTAAATAGGGTTCTGTGATCTGATCGAAACTGCAGAAGACATTCCTGAGTGCTGTGAAGAAAGACCAATTCGACTTTTTCTCCACTGCTTTACTACTCCGGGGGGGAAAGGGGGCTCCTCTTAAAATCTCCTATAAACACTTTCAACGCTGACCTAGTATTATGTATAAACAAAACTGGAAAACTGTTAAAGCTCTTTACGGAAACAGATTTTTTTTAAAAATTATATTTTATTGATTTTTTTAACAAAGAGGAAGGGAGAGAGATAGAGTTAGAAACTTTAATGAGAGAGACACTAATTCAGTTGCCTCCTGCACGCCCCCTACTGGGGATGTGCCTGCAACCAAGGCACATGCCCTTGATCAGAATCGAACATGGGACCTCTCAGTCTACAGGCTGGAGCTCTATCCACTGAGCCAAACTGGTTAGGGCTAGAAACAGAAATCTTAGTACTTCCTGATCTTCTATTTCATCATTTCTCTCACTAACCCTTCCTGCTGAATCAAGAGAACAGTTGAACAAAGGAATTTCTTACTGAATACATTTCTAAGATGAAATATCTCTGTGAACATATTTTCACCATCTTCACTTTAAGTACATTTGAGGTACGTTATTTTTCATGACTGTGATATCTTATTTTATTATACCTTCTTTATATTATTTAGATATGCAATTTTGGAAAGCAACATAACTTAGGAGGATTCTTTTTCTTTCTCCTTTTGGTGGTTTTTGATAATGACAATCATTATTTACATATGGGAAATACAAAACTTTGGCAACTGGTATTTGCAAGCTTTCAGCATTTAGCTGCAGTCTATCTAGAAGGAAACATTGTAGGAATATAAAAGTTTAATTTATTACCCAGGCCAGGCAATAGGCATACCATTACGACTGCCAGCAAAAAAAAAAAATTACAGATACCATTTGAGCAGGTTCTAGTGTCAGGAACTTGATCTGATCTTATGAAGTAGGTGCTTTATTTTAACAATGAGGACACTAAGACTTTAAAGAGGCTAATTTATTTAAATCAATAGCTAACTAGAGGCAGAGCCGGAATTCAAACACAGGTTTGAGTGGCTGCAAAGTCAGAAAGTCTGAGTTGGAATTTCATCTCCTCTACAGAGAATATAAAATGTCTGAAAGAATGCTAATAAAAGAACAATGTTTGCTATCTCTAGGTAGTAGGTCTCAGATGATTTTTCCACCTTCCTTTTTGTTTTTATGTAGTAGTTGAATTCCTTACAGTGAGAAAGAATGTATTATTTTCTAAAGAAAATTGAGCTCCGGAGGAAAACACCGAAACAAGCAAGTATAAAAAAAACAATAGACTCTATAACTTGAGTGTTGAGACCCTCAAAATAGTGTCCCCATGTTCAAGTGGGAGAAAAGGACAAACAGATAAAGATAAGAGGAAGAACAGAATGGTGTTCAGGGAAGTGTTTCTAGACAGATCATCCAGAAGCCACCAGGTAGGTCTCCTCCCCACCACCTTTCTCTTAAAGCGCAGTTCACCTAGATGTTTACATATTTTGATTTTTAATTGACTAGATGTTTATATCTATGACCCAGAGACCCTCTATATGAATTTTCCTTGAGAAAAAACAATGTGCAAGAACTCATCCATGGCAGCATTACCGGCAATAGAGAAAAAAGCTGGGAACAACCTGTGAGTCCAAAGTTAAGGCCTATCCATAAATTATAAAGACCGATAAAAGCATGGATAGCTGAAACCGGTTTGGCTCAGTGGATAGAGCGTCGGCCTACGGACTGAAGGGTCCCAGGTTCGATTCCCAGGTCAAGGGCATGTATCTTGGTTGTGGGCACATCCCCGGTGGAGGGGGTGCAGGAGGCAGCTGGTCCCTTGTTTCTCTCTCATTGATGTTCCTAACTATCTCTCTCCCTTCCTCTCTGTAAAAAAAATATTAAAAAAAAATAACACATGGATAATGTTTATTATGTGGGAAATAAAAAAATAAAGGCTACACCATCACAATGTTTCTTTTATTTTCTAATTACCTTTTTGCTATTATAATTTGCTCTTTTTTAAAAGTCAAAAGTTACTTAAAATCTCTCCTTCAAAATAGTAGCTTCATAATTATGTTCCTAGAAATAATAAGGTTCAAACACATGGTGCTATAAGTCAGACCTAACAGTCTCCCAGTTGGAAGAGGGAAACAGGAAGCCCAAACACCCTCACCAGAGGATGCTGACACGATGATGTAATTGAACCTGGGAAGTGGTCGCCTCAGAAGGAAAGCAAGGTGGGTGGTATGATGAACTGAGAAGTTGCAACTCAACTGAGGCTGTAAAAAAGTACATATTAAATGCCTTCCAATTTCTTAGGACATATGTCTAGAAGTACAGTGCAGAAGGCTTTTATAGGTGAAACCTCACGTTTGCACAGGCAGTTAGACATGCAGTTTTTAAAAGGGCCACCACACCTGGAATCGGGTATTTACATGACACCACAGTGAGGTACCCTCCTTACGCTATAACCATGATGCTCTCGAAAGGCGGGGCACAAGAGCACCCACTTAAACAATATCCACGGAATTCTGGAAAAATTATTTTACAGACTATAATCTAATATCCTCGTATATTTTATTGCTGGATGAAAAGAATACAGACTAAGCTAAAACACATATGTATAAAGCACAAGGGCTGAATATTTTAGGTTAGGAGAGACTTCTAGTTGTTCGAGGTAGAAAAGGCAGACAAATGCAGCCTTTGAAGATATTAAAAAAACACAAAAGTCTGTGAATATCATGGGTTTCCTTTTTAACATCATTCCCACTTCTAAGTGAAATACGCTTTCAGTGGCCACGTACCTAATCTCTCAAGACAGACAAGGTAACAGTGACTAAATATAACAATGAATCCATGAGAGATTTTTTTTCCCCTCCGCTACTTCTGACGGCTTTAAAATATAGCTTTTCTCAAAATCCTTTCTTTCCTTTTTAGGCTGTTCACTACTCTCTTTTCACTGGAAATTGAGGACCGCAGCAGAAAATCATGAGTGTGACAAGAAAAGGGTGAAATGGGTGCCTGGTGTGGCTGGAGGAAATGGCTATTGGGTGTTCACAGTCATTCATCCCCCCTCTAAGAGCCTGCAGAGAGCCAGAGGCCATCAAGTTCCTCACCCTCCAGGGGACAGGAGGGTTTGGAGAAGGTGGACATCCCTGCGGCTAACTCTCCACAGTGTTCCAATCCTTAGGCTCTGAACCCAAGCGCTGTGGATATTTCAACGGAAAATTTCCATCGCAGTGTTTAAAAATACCCCGGGGCCCCTAAAAAGTCCTACGCCCCATAAAAAGAACTAGCGGTAATTAGGAGGGTAACATCAGCCTCTAACCTGAATTTACATGGGTTGTAAAAGTAGGAAATCCTAATAGTGCTGACACTAGAACTTTCTGCCTTCTATTTAAGCCAAAACGTTTACACATTTTAAGGCATTTTCCTTAATGTTTTAGCCCGAGAGAATGCAAACGGGTCGCTGGCTGCTCTTAAGTCTGCATAGTGTTACCTCCCTACACTAGGAAATTGGTTATATTTTTATAAAACGAAACCCTTCTGTGTGAAGTTTTCTGAAGTAATCTTTGGAGACTGGTTTAATAAATCTATTTCCTCGCAGCGTACTTGGACGTAAATGAATTATCCAGGTTCGGCTGTGGATTCCAAACGGAAAGCCCAGAAAATTTGGCTTCTGGTCTCATGCTATAACTGCAACCTCAGCTGCCCAGCACATGCTCTGCCAGGCATTCTGATTCAAGCCATCAACTTTGAAAATCATAGGAACTGAACCCAGGTTTAAAAAAAAAAAATCAACTTTAGATACATTCCACAATGCTTTACAGAAGCAAACAAAAACAAACAAACAAAAAACAAAACAAAACAAAACAAAACAAAAATCACAATGATTAAAAAGCTGATTTTTTTGTTTTAAAACACCAAGCAAGGAATGGACATATGAATATTCCTAACCTGCAAAATGATTCCTCCACATTATATCAGCGAAACTCATTGGTGGGCCACTGGGAGGGTAGTGTTTACCTTTCAGAGGCTCATGATCAGTCCTTATCATATCCATTAAGGAGTTCTCCAACGAGTGCAAGTTAAAAGTGTCATAGGGCCTACTCCGGTCCTAAAAATAAAAACACAGAACAATAAGACAACACATAAAATGACTTCCTAAAAATCAATACTGTATCATTTGCTTCTTGCCGTGTACTGGGGACATGAATCAAAGTTCCAGATAGTTCTAATAATAAACACACAGTCATTCTTTTCATGAAGAATAATGACTTGTTTCAGAAGGACACTAAACTTGCATTAATGCTGAAATTTAAAAAAAAAAAAAAAAAAAAAGAATAACTTGGCAACATTCTGTTTAATACAAGTTTCCACAATGAATTAAATTATACCCTTTCCCCCTTAATAGTCTTATGTACATGTCCCACTTCTTCAGGCTGACTTCTTCTCAAGTGAACTAAAAAAGTAAATTCAAAAGTTAAGAGTCATGAGAATTGGCTCTGCCCTCGGCCCTTCACCCCCTACATCCACTGTCAAGTGAAGATTCTACTCAAATGAACAGAGGTGCAGTTTTGTCTGGAGGAAGACCATAATTAAAAACTCTCAGTATAACATTACTTTCCTGAAAAGCATAAAATTACTTTCCTGAAAATTACTTTCCACAAAAAGGGATGGTAGTTTCAATGTAATTCTATTGCATATCTTTCATATTTATTACTGATAAGGTACATACTGATAAGGTCCATACATTAGGTATATGTTATAAAAATTGCAGCTTGTCCAAAGTACTAAAATTACCTTTTGAAAAGCATTCACGTGAAAAATGTTTAACCCAAGATAGTGTTTTCCCGTTAGATTCAAAAACATTTTGAAAATAGAAAGCTAATGCAAACTAAGAAAAATAATTGTTCTACCACATTTCACTCATGCCCATGGGAGACCAACACCTACAAATTATTGTTAGTAGTCTGGGTCTAAAAGAAGTGCAGTCCATGGCCTAATTTATTACTAGAGAACAATTCATTTGGTTTTTGTGTAAGGAAAGCAAGACAGTCTGGCTGGTATGGCTCAGGGTTGAGCATAGACCTATGATCCAGGAGGTCACAGTTCAATTCCCAGTCAGGGCACATACCTGGGCTGCAGACCCAGTCCCCAGTGTGGGGCGTGCCTGAGGCAGCTGATCCATGATTCTCTGTCATCATTAATGTTGATGTCTCTCTCTCCCTCTCTGAAGTAAAATTTTTTAAAAAAGCAAGATAGCCTTAGCTGGTTTGGTGCAGTGAATAAAGCAGGGACCTGCGGACTGAAGGGTCCCAGGTTCGATTCCAGCCAACGGCACATGCCTGGTTTTCGAGCTCAATCCCTGGTGGGGGGTATGCAGGAGGTAGCCTATCGATGATTCTCTCTCATCATTGATGTTTCTCTCCCTTTCCTTTCCTCTCTGAAATCAATAAAAATATATTAAAAAATTTTTAAAAAGAAAAGCAAGATAAACATACACCTCGATAACCATACAAAACAAACCATAGCAATGAGAGATTATTCTAAGGATCTTGGCCAGTTTATCCAGCCTTGCCAATGATCACTTATCCTCTCCTCTGAATAACAGAATGACATGATGAGTACGCTATCAATGATAGGTAAGAACCTCAGCTACAATGGACCATTTTCCAGGTTTGTGTTAAACCAGTGGCCGGCAAACTCATTAGTCAATAGAGCAGCAAACCACTGAATCACAGTTTGCCGACCGCTGTCTTCAACTATTGGAAAGCTGTTTTCTTCTGGTCTCTGGTGCACAGCCTCACTGTACCCCTATCCAGGGAAGCAGAAGGGGAGATGACATTTCGGCAGTGAGCATAAAGAACTCGGAGGATTATTGTGTAAATGAATGCAGCACGAATCCTAGGAAGAGCCCTGAACTGAGAACCAGAAGACCAAAGTACTACAACAACCCTAAACACTTGGGGCTTTAAGGAACGTTATGACCCACCTCTCCAGTCTGTGCCTGAAATCCCTCCCTTTTATGCAAATGAGAGGATGGAGCTACATTATTTCTAACACCTCTGCAACCCTATCCTTTAAAAAACAACAACTCATAGATGAGGAGTCGGGGTGGAGGGGAGAGAGACATAAACATTAATGATGACAGAGAATCATGGATCAGCTGCCTCAGGCACGCCCCACACTGGGGACTGGGTCTGCAGCCCAGGTATGTGCCCTGACTGGGAATTGAACTGTGACCTCCTGGATCACAGGTCTATGCTCAACCCTTTACAAACAAACCTTTACAAACAAAACTTTACAAACCTTTTATGCGCAAGTTGAGGGCTGCTACCCTACTGGGCCCTGGTAGTTCAGAAATAAATGCCGTAGCCTCGTCCCTATTTGCAAGTGACTAGCAGAGAGGGACGTGACCAATTAAAATAAGAGTACGGCAGGTGTTCTGACAGAGGAACGTATGTAGTACCATGGAAACTAAGTCACATCTGTCTCTTAAAGAGCACATATTTGTGTATGTGTGTATCGTAATTATTTTTTAAATTCCCATTCTAGGTGTCTTGAATATGGACCTGTCATGTGACCAGATGTAAGGCTTGTCTTGGTCATTCTCAATGGCTGCAGTATTCTCGGTAGTAAAATGGAATCCCGTTAGAATTAGGTTGAAATTACTTACTATTTATTCTAGTCACATTGTGTGTGCCAGAGAGCAAGGAGCCCATATTTCTTAGTTAACTGAGGCGTTCCCCCCACCCCCGCCATTTTTTTCTTTTAACACTCATCAGTTATCTATTCCTATTGTTGGATAAGAAAGAGGCATGGAATATTTTCTTTGGTTCTCTATTTTGGTTCCTATATAATTTAAGAAGGTCCTTTCCTTTACCTTTAAGTTCTTCCTGAAGATCATTTGTTTTGCCTTGGATTCAAGTTATCAGTGGACACTTAAATTACTTAAGGAATAAAGCTGAATTTCCAGAAATGCAGGCTTATGTTTCTCCATAAGAAGTATCATATTCTTTGCCCAAAGAAAAAGCCAGAGATTTAAAAAAAAAAAAATTTACACTAATAAAAGAGAAAAATGCTAATTGACCATACACAGCCAATCAGAGAGAGCATGCAAATTAACCCAACAAAGTTGGTGTTTAATTTGCATACGCTGAGGGAGGGAGGAGTGAAGACTGAAGATAGCATAGAAGGAAGAGGGAAGAAAAGCGGAAAGCAAGGCAGCTGCCAGAGGGAAAGCATGGGCAGGGCAGGGCGAGGCGGGTGGGGGGTGGGGGCCTCGGCTGCAGCGGCCACTTGCAGGAATCTTCCTGCAATGGGCCCCTAGTAATAATAATAAATAAGTGTGCTGATGAAGAGGTAAATGATAACCTATTTATGGCACTGACAATCCCATAATAAATGTCTAGGAGCCTTCTGTCATACCCATCCATACCTCCTACCGGGCTGTTTGAAGAGAGGCTGCTAAAGTGAAGGGACTAGCCAAAACCGGTTTGGCTCAGTGGATAGAGCGTCAGCCTGCGGACTGAAAGGTCCCGAGTTCGATTCTGGTCAAGGACATATACCTTGGTTGCGGGCACATCCCCAGTAGGGGGTGTGCAAGAGGCAGCTGATCAATGTCTCTCTCATTGATGTTTCTAACTATTCCTCTCTTCCATCTGTAAAAAATCAATAAAAAAATATATTTTTTTAAATAAATAAATAAATAAATAAAGTGAAGGGACTATAAGAAATGACTGTTTGAAGGCAGCCGAGAATCTTTCCAGCCAGGACAATTTCTTTTTTTCATTTAATTCTTTTTTTAAAAAAATATTTTATTAATATGTATTTTTTAGAGAGGAAGGGAGAGGGATAGTTAGAAACATCGATGAGAGACAATCATCGATCAGCTGCCTCTTTCTCACCCCCTCCTGGGGATGTGCCCAGAACCAAGGTACATGCCCTTGACCAGAACTGAACCCGGGACCTTTCAGTCCGCAGGAAGACGCTCTATTCACTGAGCCAAACTGGTTTCGGCTTTCATTTAATTCTTGATATACTCTTTAAAGTACATAACATACTCATTTTACACAAGGGAGATGAGGGTCAGAGGTGATGCAAGTCTGGATCTGACCTCAACACCAATACCAACGAGTATAAAAATCTAAGAAATTAATCCAATCCATTTAGGATATTACATGAAAACTCTCTAGAAACACAGCACTGCATCTAATCACTGGTGAAATGATCTTCCTGTTAAGGTGGTAGTGAGTTCCTGTCAGAAGCTAATATCAGATGTCAGATGACTACCTGTCAGGAGAACTGGGGGGATGTGTGGAGAGGGTTCGTACATCTGAAGTGGGTCCCAAACCGGTCAGAATGTCAAAATCACATGTAAAACAGTTTAAACGTAGGTTCCTGGTCCCCAGCTAAAACCACCTTAATCATAATTAAAACGGAATGAATAAATGTCCAGGGTGATTGCATAGATTTGAGAGCCACTAGACTGGATGATTCTTCAAGTTAAGTAAGCCTTTAACACACTGAATCTGATTGGTAAAACGGGGCAGTTAAGTAAGGGAGGGGACTCGAAGGACAGCATCAGCAAGTAAACAAGCCTGGCGACCTGGCCAAAAATCAGCTTTGCCGTCTTTCGATGGATTGTGAATTAGAGAAACAAGTGGAGGGTTGGTTTTTTAAAAACACAAACACAGAAATCAGACAGCTGGTTTTCAAGCTCTGGCTCTGCCGCGTGCTGGCATGCCACTCTGCACACATTTTTAAGGCTTGATTATCTTCTTCCATGAAACGGGGGGGGGGGGGGGGGATAATAATTCTCTCTTGGTGGCTGTTTTCAGTGCTAAAAGACAGGATGTACTGCGAAGCGTCTGTGCAGCGATGGCTGCTGGGATATCAGGGAGAACTCAGAGGGACTTCTGTGATCCACGTCATGGTGCTGGGCTGCAGATCCCAAGGCCAGAGGTTCACAGGTGCTAACCTGGCACGGTCCACCCGTGCCCCCCGGCGTGACGTGTGAAATCCGTGACAGAGCGTGCCCAGGCTTCTTAACAGAACAGACTTCAGTGCCGAGGGGCTTCCTTTCTCACTAAACTTAATTCTAGCTATGCCTCA